TGAAATGCAATCGACACTTTTGGTAAAAAAATTTAGTCATGCCCCGGGTTTTAAACTTGAATTCTCTCTGTTTCCAGTACATCAAAAACGTACAATCTGCATCCAGGGGATGCGTGACAGATGAGTAGAGATGGCTCATTTTTGGAGGCTTGATGGAGAAAAAAACTGGACGTGTGCCCCGGCAGCTTTTCAATGTAGCATTAACTTTGCAGCCTAGTTGTAAATCCCTTTATTGAGTGTGACCGTTTCTGTACCGTTCTTGTGACACTACGATTTATCTTTAAGGATGAATTAATAAAAATTTTTGCATCGATTATTTTCTTTTTCCTTCGCATGGCGACTCCCCTTTTGGACTTAATCCCATTTGAACTAATTGCGGGCACGAACTTGACCTTGTTGTTAGGAATTAGGCCTTTCTGGGGTGCATTGATTAATTTTACTGTGTTTGCCTCGACATTTTAGCTTCAGAATAGTTTGTTCTGCGAAGTTCGGTTGCAAAAACTTAAAAATGATAATAATTAAAAGAATAAATTCAATTATTGATAAGTACTTAGATTAGATAGTACTCGGAATACGGGAGATTAAACAATATTACTTCCATTAGGTTAGATATAATTGTGCCGGGGCCATTGCAAGACACAGGTCAAGCTGCAGCAAATTTTTCTCCAGTTGATGTGCTGCTATTGTGATGGAAGTCCTTAAATGTGAAGAGCACGTCACAATGCCCACAAGGGAAGCACTCGGGCTCGGACCGTCACAAAGCCCGTCACAATCCACTTCTTATTTCAGAGAAATACTTGGGCATTTCTTATTTTCATTATTAAATTAACACCCTACACTTACCTTTGATTAAAGTATATATATTTGGTGCTTCATCCTTAGATTAGGCTCTACTTTAGCCACTTAACTTTAAAAAACATATTTTTAGTCCTTTAACTTTAAAATCATTAACAAAAAATGACAAGTGGTTGATAGAACATTTTCAAATGATAATATATTTATTTTTATTTTTCAAACAACTATGATTAATACAAATCATCATGATTTAAAACTAGTAATTTTAGGATTAAAAGACTTAAAATATACTTTTTAAAGTTAAGATATCAAAATAAAACTTCGTATAAAGATAAAAGGTTAAATGTATATTTTAATCTTTATCTTTTTTTCCCAAACATCTCTTCTTTAATAATTAAAAAAAGAATCAAGTGCACTTCTCTAAGGAAATACATCAGATCCATTTCAGATCATCTTCTGTGTTGGTTTAGGAATTTATATTATGATGCCCATACATAACGGTTGTATTCACAAAATTTGAGTTGAGGGGTTAAACTTAAGTCTGGGTCTGGGTAATTTAATCTCCTGAAATTCGCAATACATAAACTATATAATTTCAATTTATGATGTTATGTGTTTGAAAAATATTAATAATAATTGTGAGGATCTCCCCCCCCCCCCGGGGATTTGATATAAGCAGAATTTCTTTTGCCCCAAATCGATATATTGTATGTTGGGCACGTCTTAGGGGGGGGGTTATCTCAGTTTAAAATTTCTTTGGGGGGTAAATAAGTGTTAGTCCGGGAATTAGAGGATTCAATGGAAAAGAAGGGAATTTGATTTGTCAACTGCCATGCCAAATATAACCCAGGGAATAAATCAGAATAAGAGCGTTAGGAAGTCGTTTTTTTTTTTTTTTTTTTTTGAGGAGGAAAGAATCTCGAGACGTTTTCTTCTCCACACAGGAGAGAACTCAAGACGAGAGATATTACTTTTCAATTTGAGGGGAGGCATATGAGTTATTGCGTTGCAGGGAGTCCACAAAAGGACGGATTTGCATGTTGTATGTCTACTATAACACGTTAACACGTCCGACCAAGTTGAAGTTGGTCCTAGGCCTGCATATTTAACTGGGCAACTCTCTACTTTTGTATGCGTAAATGCCACTGCATTCTTCACCCCGAAAAAAAAAAATGCCACTGTATTGGAGCCTATCCATCACCATTCACCAGCCTAACTAGTATGGATATGTTCCCAACGACATCTCTCTATTCCAAACCATCATTATTCACCTAAAACTAAACATTGTTTCAACCAATAATCCTTTGTCCACGTTCCCCAAATGAGTACTCATTGTATTGCCGCATCAAGGTTTGAATAGCTCCTCCTTCCTGTTTTGGACAATATGCTCATACTCAGAATTGCTATATCATTTATCGTCATATAGTCGCCGAGACCAACAGCTTTGGCACTGCTCACAGTGGCTGCTGCTCTCCGCTGGTTCTTCCTCTCAATATAGATATCACTCCCCCAGTTGGTCCCCAAGCAATTACGATTACGAACAACATTTATCCGTAACAGCCTCCCTAGCCCAAGTTGTTCCTAGTGGATAGAATAGATATTAAACATAACATTATGACAAGTGGCAACCATTGCTGTGGACGATGCTCACTTGTTTCACTTTGATTTTTACTCATTCTCTCTCTGATTTCTCTACACAGAGGCATTGCCTTGCCTATATATGAGCCGCTCTGCACTTTTGTCTGAGCATAGCAAAAAGCATTAGTAGCCGTTCAAATGACTTCTTCTATCCTCTACGTCTTGCTCCTCTCATTAGCCATTTTCTCATTTTCATGCTCATCATCACCTTCCCATCAACCAAAACCCAAACCTCATTCCTTCAATCTTCCCATTATGAAAGATCCATCAACCAATCTCTACTACGCTTCTATTTGCATAGGAACTCCTCAACACAACATGGACCTGGTGATTGATCTTGGAGGACCATCCCGGTGGTATGACTGCCACACTCGCTACAATTCATCGTCCTACCATCCTGTATCTTGTCAATCAAAAAAATGCCCCCAAGATGCAGGATGCATTGGTTGTTCTGGCCCTTTTAAACCAGGTTGCTCAAATGACACTTGTGGTCATAACATTTTAAACAGTTTGGCTAAATATATCTTCAGTGGTGACTTGGGTGACGCTGTTTTGCATATGCCCAACCTGAAAGTGCCTCACTTCCTTTCTGGCTGCACCGCTTCGGATTTATTCGCTGGCGTAGTTCTAGAAGGCTTACCTAAAGGCAGTGACGGGATCATAGGCCTTGCAAGGACGGAGTTAACGTTACCTGCACAGCTCTCATCGGCTTATAAGCTTCCTCGCAGGTTTTCTCTTTGTTTGCCTTCTTCAACCAACAAAGGATATGGTGACATGCTCGTTGGTGCCCAAGATGCGTCCAAAAGTTCTCAAAACCATCCCACTGATCGTCAACCCAGTCTCAACAGCTCCAGTGTTTACTACTGGGGATGCCTCTTGTGACTTCATTGATGTGAAATCGATCAAGATTGACGGTGAGGTTGTGAACATAAAACCCTCCCCTTTATCCATCGACAAAAAGGGGAATGGGGGTACCAAGATTAGTACCATGAGTCCTTTCACTGAGCTGCACAGCTCAGTTTACAAACCGTTTTTAAGACAATTCGTCAAACAGGCTGCGAGCAGGAAGATGAAGAGAGTGGCTCCAGTGCCACCATTTGAGGCATGCTATGATTCAAGCTCTATTAGGAGATCAGGCGTGCCTAGTATTGATTTAGAGCTTCAAGGGGGAGTGACATGGACTATTCATGAGACCAATTTAATGGTAACCACTAAGCACAATGTGGTGTGTGACAATATCACCGAAATGATGAAGAATGTATCTTTTATCTTTTAGTTTTGTGTGGATAAATAAATTAGTGAGTTTGGGTTGCATGAATTCTCCAACAAAGTTCATATGTTTATGATATAACAGTATGTTTAGTTGGCACTTGGCATGAATGCCAAAATTTATTGAAAGTTCAAATCTTCATTCGCGAAGCTTTTGAGTTAGTGAAATATCTTAAAGCATTATTAGAAAGTACAGTCCTTGGTATTCTGCTTACTTCATTTTCCATTTGAATTTCTTTAATCACAGATTATGTTATACTCTTCTAGTCTTAAATATAAGAACCTTATACTAGTGTGTATAAGAGTTTTATATTTAAGATCAGAGGAGTAATACATTTCTATTTGGCCAAATAAATCAATTAATATTATTTGAGATTTTTAAGATTAAATATAATTTTGTGACACAATAAATTATGGACATTGCAATTAGTTAATTATATGATAAAATTTGTATCAAGTCATATTATTCACAAATTAAATACCATTTAATTTATTTCTTTTTGTTTAAAAAGATTATTTCTTAAACTTTGTGTAATACTCCTCCGGTTCTAAATATAAGACCCCTTTCGTAGTGTAAATTATACTACGAAAGGGGTCTTATATTTAGGACCGGAAGGTTTATTTACAAGATAATATTTTTGTAATAATAATCATATATAGATACCCTCTTTTGGGATATATACAGAGACAGGGAGAGATAATATAATTTTTAATTCTCAATTTTCTCACTATCGATTTAGCCCCTACGATTTATTGAGTTAAAGAATTAGATGGACTAAATTATTTAGAATAATGCAGCCACATGACCGATTATAGCGAGAAAATTTAAGAATTAAATTAATAATTAAAAAATTAAAGGCCAAGTGGGCATACTCATAATGGACAAGCGCAAGTGGGCAGCAGCAGATGGAGAGCAGGGGTATCGGCAATTGTGCCAGCAGGGACGCCAACTTGGACCTGCACATGCAAAAGTCGGTGTTAAGACTTAAATAATATGGCATTTCATTCCTTATTCATTCTCTCCTCCCGTTTCTCTTCGTTTCATCCTTAGATTTCAAATACAACGTGATTCAAAACTTATATTAAAGTTGCCGAGCACCTCCCTTCGTACATGGATGCCAGCCAAGTCTGAATTCTTTCCGCTTAGATTCATCTTTATCCTGACCATACACATACACAACTGTCAAAGGGACATATAATCATTAATTTGCGATCTACTGAATGCCTATATAAGGGCCACTATACTCCAATCTGAGCAAATTAAAGCAGCCTCATCATCAGTTTGGTGTTCGATCACAATGGCTTCATCTTCTGCCCTGATCCATTTCTTCCTCCTCTCAATAGCCACCTTCTCAATCTCATGCTCATCACTTCCCCATCAGCCCAAATCCCAACCCTATTCCTTCAAACTTCCTATTAAGAAAGACCCATTAACCAATCTCTACTACGCTTCTGTTGGCATAGGAACTCCTCAACACAACATGGACCTGGTGGTTGATCTTGGAGGACCATCCCTCTGGTATGACTGCAACAGTCGCTACAATTCATCGTCCTACCGCCCTGTATCTTGTCAGTCAAAAAAATGTCCCCAGGATGCAGGATGCACTGGTTGTTCTGGCCCTTTTAAACCAGGTTGCTCAAATGACACTTGTGGTCATAACATTCTAAACAGTTTGGCTAAATATATCTTCAGTGGTGACTTGGGCGACGATGTCTTCCATATGCCCAACCTGAAAGTGCCTCACTTCCTTTCTGGCTGCACTGCTTCGGATTCATTCACCGGCGATGCTGTAGTTCTAGAAGGCTTACCCAAAGGCAGTGATGGGATCATAGGCCTTGCAAGGACGGAGTTAACGTTACCTGCACAGCTCTCATCGGCTTATAAACTTCCTCGCAGGTTTTCTCTTTGTTTACCTTCTTCAACCAACAAAGGATATGGTGACATGCTCGTTGGTGCCCAAGATGTGTCCAAAGTTCTCAAAACCATCCCACTGATCGTCAACCCAGTTTCAACGGCTCCAGTGTTTACTACTGGGGATGCCTCTTATGAATACTTCATTGATGTGAAATCGATCAAGATTGACGGCAAGGTTGTGAACATAAAACCTTCCCTTTTATCCATTGACAAAAAGGGAAATGGGGGTACCAAAATTACTACCATGAGTCCTTTCACTGAGCTGCACAGCTCAGTTTACAAACCGTTTTTAAGACAATTCGTCAAACAGGCTGCGAGCAGGAAGATGAAGAGAGTGTCTCCAGTGCCACCATTTGAGGCATGCTATGATTCAAGCTCTATTAATAGGTCCGGCGTGCCTAGTATTGATTTGGAGCTTCAGGGGGGAGTGACATGGACTATTCATGAGACCAATTTAATGGTGACGACTAGGCACAATGTGGTGTGTCTGGGATTTGTTGATGGAGGGAAAGAACCGAAAAAGTCATCGGTGAAAACCTCAATCGTAATTGGTGGGCATCAATTAGAGGATAATCTTCTGGTATTTGATTTGGTTTCCTCGAAACTAAGCTTTAGCTCCTCCCTTCTCTTCCAGAACACAAGTTGTTCTCGCTTTTAATGCAAGGGCTTTGAGTTTTATTCTCTATTGGCCTTGTGGGTTGTGAAGCTTCAACCTCCATGGATGGCAAAATAAATACGGGAGCATGATATAAGCGAAATGAAGAATGTGCCTTTTATCTTTTAGTTTTGCGTGGACAAATGAGTAAGTTTTTGTTCAAGAGTTCTCCAACAAAGTTCTCCATCTTATGTTTATGAAATAACAGCGTGTTTAGTTGGCACATGGCATGTGTTTCAAAATTGAAGAGATCTAGTGTTCCAAGTATTGATGAGGGGAAGTGGAATGGAGCATTCGTGGGGCCAATATTTCAATGTTCATCGCTGAGAAATGTGGTGAGCTTGGGATTTAGAACAAAGCCAAGAATGTCATTTGGGAAATGTAGTAGGTGGACATTTGAAGGTGTTTGATGTGGATTCCTCAAAACTAAGTTTTTAGCTATCCTCTTCGCCGAAACACAAGTCGCTCTCACTTTTCCTTAGCCATGCATGATTCTGTAGATCATCATGAAACCTTTTTTGTTTTTTTGGCTCGTTTTTGCCGGACAAAAAGATCTTTAGTCGTAAATAAAATTAAATGCGCTGACTTGTTGGTTGTCACTAATAAGCGACTAGATCAGTCGTATTTGATAAATGAGTAAATCATTTTGTCAATTATATAATTTTATTTTGCTGATTAAACGTTGTAAAATTAAACAAAAGTGAATCGAGTACATGTACGAGCGCATGTGTGTGTGTATAATATGTGTATATGTATATATATTTTAGTTGAAGAAGTTATTTATGTTCTTGAAATAACAAAAATATCTTTTAATAAATTATATATACATGTATAATTTCTTATCTAATAATCATATTTTAAATACTATCGTCATAATAATCATTTTAAAGGGTATGTCCTTTTAAAAAAAATACGTGGGTTTTTAAGATCTTGAAGATCTTGAAAACTCTCGATTTGATTTTCTGTTTTAAAATTTGAAAATATGCATTAGTATATTATACTCGTCCTTAATATAGATTTAATAATTTGATTAAATTAAGTAGGTAGATTATAAGTGACACATTTTTTAATAATCATTTTTATACTATTCTATTTGATTAGATCTATAATTTAGAGAAATTGATAAATATATGGCTTATATTTGACCAATGGGTCATATTAGGAGTATTTGATTATTCTATTCTCATGGGAGACATCACATTGCATTTGTATATTATATTTGATTGACCTGGCATTTAGCTGCTTAATTGTTGTTTCTTTCAACAACAAAAAAAAACCAGTGGGTGCTTGTGATCGTGATTCGTGAATACCTCTCATGTGCTTTTTATAAGCGTTATGATGCGTGTGGTTAAGCAAAACCGTCCAGTCTCTGCGGGTTGGACAAGATTGATGACATGGCATTTTTTGGATCACATTGTTGATTAAACGGTGGAAATTCAGTCCACATGAGTGATAAAAGAAATTGAAAATGAATCCATATGAGTGGCCCAAATAAGTGAACAACAAAAAACCCACGTGAGATTTCCGGCACAAAAAGAGAGTATCCGTTGCCATCAAATGGAGATATTCCCGGAGCCAAAATTACATTCGTAACCCCATCACTACAACCCCCACCACCCCGAAAAAAAAATAAATAAATAAATCTGAAGTAAAAGCATCATAGCTTCGGCTGTTATGCTACAACTCTGATAGTTTATCGTCACACATAATCTAAATGAAAACATTGACCCAAGTCTATCTCAAAAGGAAAAAGAATAACTCACCCAAGCTGAGTTAAGGCTTCTTCTCATACATATTCTCACTAAAAACATTGACCATTAGCTGACTTGATCTCTGTGACGATCAAGTGTACAAAATACCTTTTTTTTGTTCTTCTTTTTTTTGGGGGGGGGTTGTTTGTATTACAAAATTGTGTGGCTGCACCAGAAGAAACAAGAAGGATATATGCCTCATCATATGAACAGGGAAGAGCTGAGGCAAGTAACATTCAAACAGATTCGGAGGCCATGTCACTGAACCTAAAACCAGAACAAGCAGCGTTGCTCATCAAAAGAGAAGGACTGAATCCCACCATGGAAGTATCCAAATCAAACTCCACAATCACATCTTCCAATTGATATCCCCCAATCACGATCCTGTTACTCGGATCCAAGTTCACTCCTCCGTCTACAAAAGCCAAGCACATCACTTCACCATTCACCCCCACCATTGAATTCCTCCCATGAATCCTCCACTTCACCATCTCACTCTGCAGTACCAAATCGATTACAGGAACATTTGGCCCCACTTGCGACCAGTTAATTCCTCTGGAACTAAAGCAGAGCCCAAACGGTTCCACCGCGGTCACCCTGGTTATGTTCATGGACACTGCTGCTTTCAGAAAAGCTTCTTTGAAAGTGGAGTAGATTGAACTTTCCATGGAGGTGTAAGGCATAATGGAGCTCAACTCGGTTTGAATCCCTCCGCCATTCTTTAGAGTCAAACGCTTACCGTTGATTTTGACGGAATTCACGCCGATGAAGAATTTCTCCGATGGGAGTTTCTCATTTTGTGGGGTGATCAGGGGAGTAAAGGTGAGGGATCTTGAAAATTCAGCTATTGGTCCAGCTTCGGTCGCCATACCGCCAAACAATGCGAACCCAGTGGAAGAAGAAAGACAGAGACAGAACTTCCTCTGCATATTGTAGGACGCAAAAAATTGAGACGCCAGGGAACTTCGAGTTCTTCCCAGGCCGACCATGCCTTTAGCTCCACTCGCCAATCCATTCAACAGGGAGGTAGGTGAGCAAGTGAAGAATAGGGCTTGGTTTGATATCTCATTTTCAGTTGAGCGGAAGAGTACGAGGTCCCGTACGAGCGCTCCACCGCTGTCTCTGGTCTCCGTGACGCTATTCTCCGAGAAAACTCGGCATGCATGGCGTTGATCTGGAGAATATGAAAAAATCAGAGAGTCCAGCTGAGGGGATTTTGCAGCGAGGCAGTGGATTGAACGAGAAGGGATGACAAGGGAAGAAGAAGAGGGCAGGGTTCTGGAGGAACAATCAAACCAGAGAGAGGAGCCTCCGAGATGAAGCACGAGGTCAGCGGGCTGAGAAGGGGAGCCATAAGAGAGGGGGGTGAGGTATTGGAGAGTGGAGCGGTGCTTGGTGAGAGGAAGAACCAGAGGGACAGGGGAGGAAGAGGAGGGTTGAGAGAGAGAGGTTGGGTAGACAAAGAAGAGAGAGGAGAGAAGAAGGGGAAGGAAAAAGGAGGAGGAAGCCATGGAAGAGGAAAGAGAGAGGGGAGAGCCTGCGGGGAGTCGCCGCGGCAGGCTCAGAGTCAGATGGGATGAGATACTGGGTGGACCAAAGGCTTTTGAAGTTTTTGTTACCAGAAAGGCCCTTAAAGTTGTCCGCATAATTTTATGTTACCTGCGCCCACATGGGCCGCCGCTCGCCGCCCATCCCTCCGTCAGCTTCATCCTCTCCGTGCGTTGGGTCGTTTTCCCTCATTTTGCCATCACCTTCACCAAAACCTCAATCAGCTCCCTATTTTCCCTGTTCCCCTTTATTCAATACTCCGTCTTTTATCACCCTGCCTGTGCTTTTCTATTTCTATTTCTATTTTCTATTTTATTTATTTATCTATTTATTCATTCTCATATTATAAAACTTGGTAACATTAATCCATAACACAATCATATTTACAATTATAGTTTTCACAATGTTTTATTCCCTGACAATAACTCGGGCAAAAAAATATTACCTAACAATAACGGTAAGCCGCTCTATATTTTAACTGGATATTATCAATTCAAAATATCCTTTATCCAATACTAAGTTATATTATTTCCCTGCTCAATTAAACGCATCCCTTCCAACATAATTTTCTTTCATTCATCAAGTTTGCATCTTATTCTTATTTGACAAAATTGAATGGCCTCCATTTCACCTAACCATCATGAATAAAATTGTTTAATTTTAATCAATAATTTGAAATATTTAACATCTCGCCAAAAAATAATTAAAAATATTTATATAAGAAAACTAGAATAATTCCCTCGTAATGGCAAGGAGTGCCAATTTTTTTAATATATATCATGAGCATAAATAAAGATTGCCACCATTATGAGCATAAATAAAACACAATGCAAACAGATAAAAAAAAAAAAGTAGCAGAAGCTATAATTTAGCTGTGATAAACAGTATACTGATATTGGTGGCTTTTTTTTTTTTACCTGGGTACCGATATTGATAATTTATGTATGTTATACTGCGAGTGTGAAGCAAGGACAAAATAATCAAGGTCAAAAAGAAATAGGGACAAAACGAGGACAAAGCTTTAAAATACAAATACCCTTTTTGCGCGAGGTGATTGGGCATGGGAGTCGAAGTAAATTAGTAAACACGCCATCTGGCTTGATTCCGTGAAGGGAAGAGTGCGACCATCGAAAATTTCTCACCCGCAACTTCATTCGAAGCTTTCGTGGTGAGTTTTTCTCCTTCTTGTCTTCTGTCTCCTTTGTGCCAGAATCGCCCTTGTGAATTCCTTTAAACCCATTCTCAAATTTTTGATCTTTTTGTCCTGGATCTTCGACTGCATCAGATTTTGCGATTTGTAAGTCCTTCACTATTTATGATGGTTCTATAAAAGGAGTCATCGGGCAATTTTCATTCTTTTATTGTGAGGCGTGATCGGAGATCGTTCTTTTTCCTCTGCTACTCATTGATAATTAACAACTGCACTTAATTATGGTTTTTGTATTCTTTATTTGCTATTTCTGTCTGGTATGGCTTGGTTTCTGATTACCCGCTTTCCATTTCGGTCAGAATACTTTTTCCACTTCGTTTTCTGATAAAGAAGAGGTGAAAATTGTTGGGTGAGTTTATTTTCATAGAAAGATGGGGAATGTAGCTTCTGGAAAACAGGTTATTTCTTCTAGAAGTTCGCAGTTCTTAGCTATTTCCTGCCTTATTTGAAGGGGATAAGAAAACTAAACAGTAGAGCAACCTCAGAAGACGAGTATGGATGAAGTTAATCAAACCTTAAAGAAGCAGATAGCAGCACTTTTGCGGGTTATCTCTGCAGCTAATTACTATAAACAGGATAATGTTCCTTGCCAAATCGAAGAGGTAGCATGACTGCGGCTGATGTACCTGGAATGCGATTAACTTAAATAGCATTTTTTTAATTTCATTTAGTGGTTTGCTTTCCGTCTTGCAGGGTCTTTTCTTGGGTTCAGTTGGCGCTGCAGCTAACAAGGATGCACTTAAAAACTTTAATGTTACTCATGTTTTAACTGTGGCTAATACTCTGACACCCGCACATCCTGATGATTTTGTATATAAAACTATAAATGGTATGTGAGTTTCTTCAATAGGAATGAAGTATTGTCTTGGATTTTCTTATGCTTTTTAATTTCCTGTGACTGCTTACGTACATTAGGGTTTTGCGCTTGACTAGGATGGGCAAAGAAGTATTTATGTGGTTCTAGATTACAGAGACCTATTTTCATGACTAATCATTGAAGGGAGGCTTCTAAACTTGATTAGATAGATTTTAGAATGTATTTTTCTGAACTTTGGACAGTAGCATCATTATAAATTTTGGAAGCTCATGATTTAGCCTTTATGGATCAAAATCTGAGGAAAATAAGGGGCAGATTCAGCCACTACTGCTGTTAAAAAAAAAAAAAAAAGAACCTTGATGTTCCTGACTATGAGCGCGCAACGATCTACTCCTTATGATAGATCTTATCATCACTGGATATGAGCTGATTTCATTATTAAGAATCATAGGACGTTGCCTACATTTAAGTTAGTCTTTGCAGCATTTGCTGTTCGTAGTTGTAGAATAGATCATTATGGTTGCCCTGCGGTCACTAAATTACTGAATATAATGAGTGTATGAATGCATTGTTAAGTATGTAATTATGCTTATTTCTCTTACAATTTTGTTTTGCTTCTAGTGCTTCTGTGGTACTAAACTTGTGCTTTTATTGGAAAATTGAGGTAGTTGTTGACAGAGAGGACGCAGACATAAAACAATACTTCAACGAGTGCTTTGATTTTATTGATGAAGGAAAAAGAGTTGGAGGGACTTTAGTTCATTGCTTTGCTGGAAGATCCAGGAGGTAAAATTTTTTATTTTCTACCAAGCCTAATTTTCATGCTTGTTTGCTTTGATCTCTCTTCCAATCTTTGTGAAGCCAATTGTTTATCTTTTTTTACTAGTTTACAACATAATTTGCTTGACACTAATTAGATGTGGGTCTTGTGCATTGGTTGGAGTTTAAGGAATAAGTTACGATAGGCATAACTTATGAATATGGCTTCCTTTAAATTTTATATATATATATATATAGATTCTGGAATCTTATTTATGTCTTCATCATGGAAAAAAGAATCTTGTTTCATGTGATATCTTGTGCTCTAGAATTATAGAAGAGCTTAACCAGACCTTAAGACTGTGACATCAGACTAAAGAACAGTGAGGAAACAACGCCTGCGAGGGGATACAATGCTCTTCAAAAATGAAAATTCATTTCCTCCTTTAGTTTGAGCCTGTGACTTAGTTTCTGCTGGAAGATTATAGCAGCTTTTGACCATTCTTATGTTCGATATACAATTCAGAAGTTAAAATAGTCCACATTTCCAACCTTCCGTTTCTCTTTTCCCTTTTGTCAAGATTAACCAGACAAAATGTACCGTTGTATGTTCTTTTTACAGTGTGACTGTAGTGGTTGCATATCTGATGAAAACTCATCGAATGAGTTTATCTCAAGCCCTGGAGCATGTGAAGAGCAGACGACCAACGGCATCTCCCAACCTTGGTTTCATTCGACAGCTGGAGGACTTTGAAAAATCTCTTCAAGGTGCTTACTGAGTTGCATTAACCATATTTAAGGTTTCAACGATGCTTTTTTGGAATTGTAACCTAGCCCCGCGCTTAATATATATTTTAGCATCAACAAACAGTAATCATACGCCTATCAGACTGCGGAGCAGAAATATATAATACGGAAAAGATCGTATGGCACGCATAAAATAGTTGACTGAAACTGGTTATGAAATGCATAATCAAACCAAAATTTGCACCGTATTTTGACAGGCCTTTTGAATTATTCTCAGTTGTCATGTCTTGATTTAGTGGAAGATTCTCTTTCTGTGTTGGGTTTCTGGGTGATCCTACTGATTGACCTTCCACTTAAGTGCTCTTTCCACAATTTCTTTATGCAGTTTCAAATTGAGAAGATTCGTGAATTTGGCTCTGATTTGCTTCTGGATACAAGAATCAAGTGTCGCAGTGCAGAAGTCAAAGGCGATTGGTGATACTTTGTAAACATGAAGGTAAATAAGATTTACCGTGAATCCAGAAAATGTATCAAGACGGCATGAGACCGTCCTTGACAGTAGTGCATGTTGGACCGTTATTAATCTTAGTACCGGAGTTTCGGATTCAATATAATTTCAGTACCGTGTTGGAATCTTTCTTCATGAGAAAAAGAAAGTATTCTGATTTATGACATGCCAACGATGTCTAATAAGTTTTGCTTTTCCTTACAAATGTAATGCCTTAATTTGCTGCTCGCGGTGGCCAGGAATCCAAGGGAATACGTTAATTGAATATTTCTGTGGTGAATTGCGGTCTTCTTACTAGTAGTTGACATATTTGCTGCCCACATAGATTCCTTAAGTGCAGCAGATGTGGCTTTGGGATTAGAAACTTTAGTTGGGATTGGGATCTGAACCGGAATATTTGGCTTTATAGGAAAATTGATTGCGTTTGTTTGGATAGGAGGTGGTGAATGGCGACGCTGATATCTCTGGGCTTATAGTAATTGGAGCCACAGAATGAAACAATAAATGCAGCATTTTGTTCTGGTACCTTCGTAGCTGATGGTTAAACTAGGTAATAAAAATACAATTGATACACACCCACAAATACCCATGTTCCATCCAATGTCTGCCTTCGCCACCGTTGTCTTTTTAAGTTGAAAATCCCATCCATTAACACCAGATTGGGTTTGCCGTTTGTTAGGCCCACGCATTTTTCAATAGAAGATATTGCTAACGCCACTTCTTCGGTTCTCCGTTCGGCCGTTCCTCTTGTTATGTTCATCACATATCCGCTACAAATCCAAGAGAGGGCTAAAGCGATATGGACCTCCTTTGTCTGACGTTCGGTGCTGAGGGGCGTCCATAACCTTGCCTTTAAATTATTAAACATTTAAAAGTACTTTTTATTAATATCATCCAAGCAGGTTGCATTTTGCCAAAATTTTTGGAGATACATACATTTAAATATAAATCACATTATATTTATAAATCTATTTCATTCTCAAATTTTGAAACATCGCTGCTTCTTTCTATTGGGTTCAATCCACTCATATTTTGGCACATACATTGTAAATCTATTTTTAACCAAAATTAAGTTTGCAGTTTGTTCCCCCAAAAAAAAAAAATAGTCAATTAAACAAGTATTTTTATTTCAAGAGAGATTGTTTTCAGATAATCAAACATGAGGTTCGGGCAATCACTAAATTACCAGGACATATGTCCTCATAAAACATCTTCAACTTCTAATGTCCTCCAGATGTGGCCAATATTTATAAAATCCGAACGCTGGTCCTCTAGAGTTTTAGGACTCTGAATTGATCACTCTTTTGCATTTGTTTTTCTGATTCAATACGAATGCTTCAGTTTTTATTCGAAAAATTATTTATTTATAAATATAAATTCTCAGTACTGCTCTCGAACTTAGAAACTCTCTTCGTCGAGGATAAAGCGAGACAAGTAGAAATACATATTTCTTTGAGAAAATAAAACTAAACTGGTGGAAACTATCAGATTCTAAGTTCTAACCCAAAACAGTTTTGGTGAAGAATATCATGATGATAGTACTAATATATTTGTCACATTTTTTCTTCGTGAAACTATAAAAGTTACAGATTCACAGCATGTATCTAACTAACCAAGCTTTCAGTCGTCAGTACAAAGAAAATTTAATGTACAGGCAGTTGCGTTCGCTGTCTTAACTGGCCTGAGGCACTGTTGATAGATAAATTACAGGGTTGGCAATATGCATCGTATCGAACCGGAGATTAGGGTTTTGCCACTACACCAAATAAAGCCGATTCCTGAACCTAAACAAGATTAAATTTATCATAATAATACTATTCATATAGCAGAGTCACAAAAACAGTGAAATCCTCATAAAAAAATTATAATCGGCGATGAAGAAGGCAGCAAGTTACGCATGAAGATGGTAGGCACAAGAGATCGAACAAATAAAAATGCATGGAAGAGCTGAGAGAATAACTCTCTCATACCTTCATTTTTAACTCACGAGTGGGCACGTAATTGAGCCAATATCATAAACGTGAGACGCGTAATGTGTATACGTAATAGGGGAAGAGGGAGAGAGAAATACGGCTATACATGTGTGTGTGTAAAAGAATACTTCACGAGAAAGCAACATATAGCATTAAATACCAGCCATTATATTTCCCTCATCTCTCTCTTTGGCTCATTATATATAAACAGATCCCATCAGAGAGCCCCCGACCGTGATCCTTAAGGTTGTTGATATCTAGTCTGTCAACCCAGAAACCAGCAACAAAACTCTTCCCCCTTAACTGACCAAAACATGTCTCACATCACTGTCGAGAGGAACAGAAGACGACAGATGAATGAACATCTCAAAGTTTTAAGATCACTGACCCCATGTTTCTATATCAAGAGGGTACACTGTTTCCTTCTTCCTCTTCTTATTATATATTTTTGTTATTTTAAGAAAAAGTTATAGGAGCTAGCTAGCCTCTCAAGATGTAAACTGATTGCTTACAAAATATAGGATCACTAGTAGGAATCAAGCCAAGAACACTTATTTTCTCGTTCTATCTGTTTGTGATGTGTGATGATGCATACATCACAATCTCTTATGCAATATATATTTCTCTTTTGTGATGTAGGGAGACCAAGCATCCATAATAGGGGGTGTGATAGAATTCATCAAGGAGTTACACCAAGTTGTGGAAGCGTTGGAGTCCAAGAAAAAGAGGAAGAGTCTAAGCCCTAGCCCTCGTGGTCCTCCTCCTGCAACACCTGATCATCAAGCCACCGATAGTCCTTTGGGAATTGGAATTGGATCTGCCGATTCCTTCAAAGAATTCGGAGCAGCAGTTAGCTGCAACTCTTCAGTTGCACATGTGGAAGTCAAAATCTCAGGCCCCAACGTGATACTGAAAGTGATCTCTCACAGGATTCCAGGTCAACTTGCCAAGATAATAGCTGTTTTAGAAAGGCTTTCTCTTCAAGTTCTTCACCTCAACATCAGTAGCATGGAGGATACGGTTCTCCACCACTTTGTTGTCAAGGTAGAACATCCTTAATTATAAAAACTATCGTGTGTCTTGTTATCTTGTTTTTAATTTTATTACGATAGTGATTCTAACCGCAAACACTTACAAACTCTACCTGAATTTTGTCCTAGTATATATAGCAATTGATTTTTGTTGGCCCATAATGGTAACGTAACTAAACTCCACTTAATTTAAAGTTGGTAAGAGTGAAGGCTACCAAGTTATCGAAGCTTTTACCATTTACGGCCTTCTGTATTTGTATTTATAGAGCCGGTTCCAACTTTAATTTAGTTTCAAGAATGGAGAATTGGCCACTCCGAAGATGCATAAATCTTACACCCACACGATCGAGACTCTGGTCAAGTTGGTGGTCTCTAAGCATATTGTGCATTAGGGTTTGTAGTATCAGTTTCAAGAATAAAGACGCATGAGCTTGATTTGTTGGAATTGGCTCGTCCGTTTGCCCACCTATAATAGACAGACACACCGAAAGTGGAAGTATAGAAGAAAGAAGATCATTAGAATGAACATTTCGAAGCTTTTCCCCTCTTGATTTTTACACTTAATCAATATCATTGACTTCCAACTCGATAAGCTGGATGAACTTGCATGATGAATAAGTAAACGGCCTACTGTAATATGCTTTAACTTACTATCTTCATTATAATATGATTTTTCGGATGTTCGATTGTGGATTGCAGATAGGACTGAACTGTCAACTAAGTCTGGAGGAACTAGCAATGGAAGTGCAAGGAAGCTTCCGCTCAGACGCTGTTACCAATACTGCAGCAACTAGCGCTTAACAACACATTCCATTTGGAAATATGATCGCAGGCAATATAATAACATACAAGAAATTATCAAAATCGTTTTCTTTGCTGTGATATATTATAATTTGACCAGACGGAAACGGTACCTTGGTCTTCAAATATGTGTAGTTCCTGGAGGCGCAATGCTCCAGTAGATCCTGTAGAACAACTTGAAATAGATATGTTATGGTTAAGTTGGGCCTTGCGGTAATTAAACATGTAGGGTTCTTATAAAGCCAGGCCGAGCTTATAACTCTCACGAAATCATAAGGTTTCTGTGCCGATATAAATATATTGGCCCAGATGATCATTGTTCAGAAATTAAAACTTGAAATACTTTTTTATTCCCCAGTGTACTGTTAAGAAAGCAAACCCACGCTTTGGTTGATATCTATGCACATCAAATGATTAGCATTTTTTCCTCTTCACAAATAAAAATGGCTACTCAATAGTACTAATAGTGTGATTTATTATGAATTAAGAGGAGAAAGAAATATGTGGACGATCATATCTGGAAATTGATGTGTGTGCATTGGATTGGAGAAGATGAAGCAGCAGCCATGTTTTGATGATGTTGTTCAGTTCCGAGTTGCATAAGCAATCATGGGAATTGATATTCTGTGGCTGTGAGATCTGAAAAGGAAATTAATAGACGCGGCAATCATGTATTGATATGGAACCGGAGGAGTGCAGGGTAAGCGACCGAAGGCCCCAGGTCAACGTCATCTTTTTTTTTTTAAAAATAATCATTTTGAAATTTGCAGCACTGCTTTTATAAATTTATTTAAGGAAAACGACAGAACATATAATTAAAATATCGAAATTTGATGTCAGGAATTCCAAATCAGATTTTAAATTTTAAAATATGGAAAATATTTCTCACTTTTTTCTTTGCGAAGATTTCTCACTCATGCTGCTCACAGACAAAATTCATATCACGTGTTTTTTTCCCTTAAAAATCCGAAACAAAAATAGCGAAGTAAATATAAAGAATAGCTCGTGAATGAATGAATGTGTGTGATGTGAAATGAGAAAAAGAGAGAGAAAAGCAGAGGAATTTTGGAGAATGCAGTGTATTGAAGGAGTGAGATGGGAATGATTGAGATTAGCAAACGCAGGCAATGATGAGGCTGCACTGTTGGCCCCAATCAGTTGAGTTCATGTGAGGCACAGCACACCCAACTTTCTCTGTTCAATCACATCTTCTCTCTCATTTTTTCTAAATCACTTTTGATCATTATGATTCCCTGATTCCCATTGCTTCATCACATTGTATCATGTTAATCTCCCCTTTAAACTATCCCTTCCTGCTTGCCTTCATTCCAAAGTTTGCTTGTCTTTCCGCCATTATTCTGC